CTTACCCCTGTTATTTCGTTTGTTTGTGTATCTTGTGTCCCCAGTCATGTAAAAGTTTTCCTAGTCTATTAATTTGGTTACTAGGTGGACCTTCTCCAACTAGTAGTCTAATCTATTCAATCTGTTCGGAAGCAGGAGGTACTTTTCAAACATAGCAAATAATATTATTAATAATAAACACTATCTAAAGATAAATATATTTGTGTAATTTTTTTGTCATTGCCCCTTACCTTTCTCTTACAGCACCAGGGTATACCTATTTTCCATATTCCCTTAATTATAGATTACCTTACAATGTTCGAATGAATATAACATTTTACTCATGAAAAATCTAATTTCATATTTAACTCTTTTTCAATTTCATTTGAAACAATAATTGGTACCTATATTACAATTTATTATCAAAGAAAATTTCTAATAAAGTTATAGCAAATCCTACTTAAACTACTGGTTGTTCTGCAGGATAAATTAACTTTTCTTGAGATTGATATCTCTATAAAATCCAAAACCGACCTGATGTCCCCAAATTTATTTTCCAATGCATCCTGATTTAAAATTCTGCCCTTTTGTGATTCAATTTTTTTTTCTTCCTTTAGAGTGGCTGTTAGAGGTAGGTGTATGTAAGAAATAGCTAATCTCTAATCATTTCAAAAGTCCTTTGCCAATACTTCATGTGCAGATTTTTTACTCAGCATACATTTTACTTTTCTAGTAGATAGGAACTTTGTGCTGCCATTAAAGCTGTCCAGACATTCATCTACCTACTTAATGAACACAAGTAGCTGTAACAATGGATCTCTGTTCCAATTCACCTAAAATAATTATAGTCATTGTGTAATATATTATTAAACACACACATTATACAGTGGTTTTCTTAATAAATTGGAAATTACTTACCTCTAGAAAGAAATGTGTACAAAAACGCGAGTTTGGTTCCAGAAATTGCTTCATGCAAAAAATAATATGCAAAAATAAACATTCCCCCCCAAAGAAAATTAATTAAACAACAAAATCAGACTAAAAGAAATATACGGGACCCAAATTAAATTAATTTTAATAAAATGCACATGTTCATAACAACCCATGATAACAACAGTCATAACATTGTCAGTTGTCAGTTTTAATACTTTTAATCGATATTTCTACGTCAAAAAACCAGCAACACCAGCGCCCTCTGAAAATGGTGTTAGTTTTATTGGAGAGAGATAGACATATGTAAAGATCAATGTAAAAGAAAAAGAGGGTCATATATGTAATTTAAATGGACCACCGAACATATTTTCCTATTAAGTTACACGTCTCTGTTGTCTCTGGTATTGTACTCTTCGCATAGTAATTAAGCTCTAAAATACCTTTATAAGGGGTCTATTCTGTAACAATTCCTTTATATTTAACGGCCTTTAAAAATATTTTCTTCTTTACTTCTGTCATTATTTAAACGGATCTTTAAAATACATTAGAGTACTATCTTAAAGAAATCTGTTTAAATAATGACAGAAGTAAATTAACGAATACAAATATACTTTTAAAGGCCGCCAATATTTTTAAAGGCCGTTAAATATAAAGGAATTGTTACAGAATAGACCCCTAAGTATTCTAACAGTATTGACACTCCCTGGGTGGAAAAAAAACGCCCAGCTTTTATCGCGGTGACGTTTTCTGGAATATAATCTTATACTTGTCATAAATCTGGTTAAAAACTCGCTACCATGCTCAGGCACATGCTCGTACACAAACTAGAAACTTTTGTTTATCGAAGTAGTTTTTGTAATACATTCACAACTTGAAAACGGAAAATTTGTTATTTTGATTGTGGATTTAGATGAAAAACACCACAAATATACTTTAGTGTTTGTTTTATCCTTATTGTTACGTGTTATTGCTCGTTTTATTTAAAGATATTGAAATAAATAGAGTACTAGAAGTAATCAAGCTAAAAAGGTTAGTTGTGAAATGAAAATATATTGCATTCGACTGATTTATGTTTAATATGTTTTCCTGAAGTATTTTCAACATGCCAGTTACTTGAATGGTTGTAAATTTCAAGAGTATTGGTCCCCCAGCCAGCAGTAGTAGCAAAAATATTAACATTGTCTACATTCAACCCATTTACATGTACATGATTTATCAGCTAAAAGCAGAACACAACAGTTCTCTGCAAAATGTAAACAACGCTACAACGAAAATTGCTCATGTATAAATTCAACAATTAAATCAAAATATAAGTATTATTTTTAAAGGGCCTATATTAACTAGGTATTGTAAATATTATAATATAAATATTTGTAACAAAATAATAGGTGTGTATTAATAAACCTGTTGCTAATCCAATAAATATAATTTATTATCAGGTATCAAAAATATGTGTACCTATAAAAATTGAAAATATCTTATATTGCTCTTAATCTTTTTAATAGTTTCTTTTTCTTTTTCTTTTTCTTTTTCTTTTTCTTTTTCTTTTTCTTTTTCTTTTTCTTTTTCTTTTTCTTTTTCTTTTTCTTTTTCTTTTTCTTTTTCTTTTTCTTTTTCTTTTTCTTTTTCTTTTTCTTTTTCTTTTTCTTTTTCTTTTTCTTTTTCTTTTTCTTTTTCTTTTTCTTTTTCTTTTTCTTTTTCTTTTTCTTTTTCTTTTTCTTTTTCTTTTTCTTTTTCTTTTTTCTTTTTCTTTTTCTTTTTCTTTTTCTTTTTCTTTTTCTTTTTCTTTTTCTTTTTCTTTTTCTTTTTCTTTTTCTTTTTCTTTTTCTTTTTCTTTTTCTTTTTCTTTTTCTTTTTCTTTTTCTTTTTCTTTTTCTTTTTCTTTTTCTTTTTCTTTTTCTTTTTCTTTTTCTTTTTCTTTTTCTTTTTCTTTTTCTTTTTCTTTTTCTTTTTCTTTTTCTTTTTCTTTTTCTTTTTCTTTTTCTTTTTCTTTTTCTTTTTCTTTTTCTTTTTCTTTTTCTTTTTCTTTTTCTTTTTCTTTTTCTTTTTCTTTTTCTTTTTCTTTTTCTTTTTCTTTTTCTTTTTCTTTTTCTTTTTCTTTTTCTTTTTCTTTTTCTTTTTCTTTTTCTTTTTCTTTTTCTTTTTCTTTTTCTTTTTCTTTTTCTTTTTCTTTTTCTTTTTCTTTTTCTTTTTCTTTTTCTTTTTCTTTTTCTTTTTCTTTTTCTTTTTCTTTTTCTTTTTCTTTTTCTTTTTCTTTTTCTTTTTCTTTTTCTTTTTCTTTTTCTTTTTCTTTTTCTTTTTCTTTTTCTTTTTCTTTTTCTTTTTCTTTTTCTTTTTCTTTTTCTTTTTCTTTTTCTTTTTCTTTTTCTTTTTCTTTTTCTTTTTCTTTTTCTTTTTCTTTTTCTTTTTCTTTTTCTTTTTCTTTTTCTTTTTCTTTTTCTTTTTCTTTTTCTTTTTCTTTTTCTTTTTCTTTTTCTTTTTCTTTTTCTTTTTCTTTTTCTTTTTCTTTTTCTTTTTCTTTTTCTTTTTCTTTTTCTTTTTCTTTTTCTTTTTCTTTTTCTTTTTCTTTTTCTTTTTCTTTTTCTTTTTCTTTTTCTTTTTCTTTTTCTTTTTCTTTTTCTTTTTCTTTTTCTTTTTCTTTTTCTTTTTCTTTTTCTTTTTCTTTTTCTTTTTCTTTTTCTTTTTCTTTTTCTTTTTCTTTTTCTTTTTCTTTTTCTTTTTCTTTTTCTTTTTCTTTTTCTTTTTCTTTTTCTTATAGTTGTAAATAAAAATCAACACTTTCTATACGTCTATTTAAATTTTAAAAACATATGCATATTTTAAATTGTAAGGATCCGTAACCTTTTATTTTTTTCATTAGACATGTAACCTGTGTTGTCACACTAAATTGTGAACATAAAGTAAAGGATTTGGGAGTTGTCTTTTAGTCTAATATAAAGTTAAATAACCATTTCTTACACATAACTAAAAAAGCAATAAAAGTTCTGGGTTTTTAAATCAGAAATACAAAAAATTTTAAGATTACCATCAAAATCAGACTATATAATACCTTAGTAAGACCCCATCTAGAGTAGCTTCACAAATATGGATCCCTTGGAAGCTACACATATTGCTCAAATTGAATAAGTACCAAAAATATTTTTACGATACCTTTATGTTATAAAAAAAAACAACTCATACCCTTATAAGGTCTCATATAAAACAATACTCGATAGATTTAGGTTAAATCTCTTTTACAAATAAGAAAACAACAGGCTGTGATATATTTGTACTTTGTGTCAAATAATGTTAAGTACAAAGATTGTGATTTGATTAACTATATAAATTTTGATGTGGCAAAGATTAATCTAAGAATCCCAAGTAACAAAAATTATTTAATTTGGATCCAAGCAGTATATCTCCTTTTAACAAGATTATGGTTTGGTTGTTACTACATGTTTACAAGACATTTTATTAAAATCAAATAATCAAATAAAAAGGCGCAGTTAAGAAAAAATAGGTTAGAAAAAATTCTTGCTTATTGTGCTCCGGAAAATCCATATTTCAAGAAGTTCCAAATTTCAGACACTTAAAACTCTTAATTATGCACATGTATTAGTACACAATATTTCAAACATACACAAATGTATAGTTTATGAACCCTGCTCTGACTTTTCTTCTTTTCTAAAATTAGTAAAACGATTTTACCGATTGTTTCCCAAAGAACGCCTTACTTGTTAGATGATGACATCCCTACAAATATAACAGTGACTTTTACCATGCTTTTACCCAATATAATTACTTACCCTTCATAAGGCCATCATCAAACCAACATAATACTGGGCCACTATCGAAAGGCCAAAAGTATGCATCTATCTTTTAATTTCCGCAATCATTTTCTCTTCAATGACGGCAAAAAGCGCATTATCCCAGTAATTCATTGTTTGTTGGGTAGTGTTTAGTATTTACTTAATTCTCAGTCTTTTTACTATCCAGTAACCACAATTATTATTTATAATCAATATTTTAGCAACATAAATATGTAAATATTTATATATTTTTAAAAAAATGTATAGTAACAAATCTAATTTGAAAAATACGTTTCGTAGGTTTGGTTTCAAAACAGAAGGGCAAAATGGAGGAAACAAGCAAGGTTACAACTTCTTCAAGATGCGTGGAGAATGCGCTGCTTAGGAATTACATCACCGCAATTAATATTAACAGGTAAGAAATAAATTACAAATGAAATGTAAAAGATGAGGTGCTACGCAAAACCGATTAATCACACAAATGTTTACACCATAATACTCTTTATATTCAGATGAATAAACTAAGAACCTCATATAGATTAAAATTTCTCGTTTGTGTGAAATAATATGTGTTTCTGAATAGATATAGTTGATTTTGATCAACTTTGACTAGACAGTCTGGTCAATATTAATCAATATTAGCTAGATATTTAATTTTTTTTTCTCGAATTCCCATTTCTGGTGTCAATTTGAAACAAGAATATGTATATTTAATTACAATTATTTCATTAGTATTAATAATGTCGTCTGGACTTGTTCCCAAGTATGGATGTTTTTCATAAATAAATAATTCACATTCTTATACCGTTTTTTCATATTTATTTTTAAATTCCTCTATCGTAATAGATTCGTGATCTTGTTCCCATTTTGTAGCGACTGATCTGTAAAAATATGAAAATAATTTGTTATTAACAGTCTTTTTAGCGTAATTTGCAAACGGTTCCAAAATTTGAAGCCGTGAGTATATTACTACAATCATTAACGGCGTGACCTATAGTAGATGCTTCAATTTTACAAATATCATCTATTGATTTTGGTAAACAATGCAAAAATTGTAGTTTTATTTGTTCCAGAACATCGTCATCATCATCATCGCATTGGAGTCCGTAGTCCCTATCTTTAGGTGCGCCACTTTTGCGTTTTTTTAATTGAGTGCCCCTGGCTTTTCTACTACATCTACGTTTGCTCATTTGAGTAACCAATCTTTGTGTGTGAATTCCAGGAACACTTATTGACAGTTTTCTATAAAGAGTGGAAATATAGTTCTCTTTTTTATTAAAAGAAATGGCTGCAGCTGTACACCGAACATTATATCCTCCTTTTACTGCAAAATTAATTGTCTTTCCTCCAACAAATTTGGCTATGATTAAATTATATGTCTCTGCAGGATTATTAGTCATGTTTAATAATAAACTGTGGCTGTTTTGAACCAGCCTATTACCAGCAGATACAATGTCATCTATTAGTTTACATTCTTCCATTTCTGTCACATAATCTGTTTTTTTTTCTTTTACAAAAATATGGTGCAGTTTGAATGATTTCCAAATGTGTGGTAAGGAGAGTTTTTAATGTCTGCAGTTAATTCAGGGTAGCCAGTTCCCCTGTAAATAGTTGGTAACAAGTTTGTTTGACCTCAACAGTGGCGAGCTGAGCGCGTTATGATGAACTATAATTCGGTACAGTCGGTAAAGTAGAAAACTACTAAGTAAAGCGATTTAAAAAATGGCGGGCTTCAACATTTATGAAATTTGAAGTAATTTCAAGTAACATTTTCCTATTTTACAGCTTTTACTTACAATAATTGAAACAATCAATAAGTAAAATGAATTTTTATTGTAAGTAAATGCTGAAAAACGGAAAATGTCACTTGTTTTAAATGAAAAATAAAAACATTTGTAATAAGTTTATTTTATTTAGAATAGGTAACTATGTCATTACATTATATTAAACATCATATTCACAATAAACACACACTCAAAATTAATGCAGAATAAAAATGTAGGATAACAATGTAACAATTATTTTATTAACAATAAACTGGATACAATTTTCAAAAAACACAACGAACATTTTCAAATAATTAAAAACATCACAAAACAACATATACCTATAAACACCACAATTGTTTTAAATATCTCTAATAATATTAATTTATTAATACACAACAGATAGGTAATTTTTCAGTGAATACATATAAAATAGTTTATATTTGCCATTAATTTGATATAAAAATGTAATATCTACATTTAAATTTGAAACAATTTAAAATTTAACATCAAATCATAATACCTATATTATCTGTTTTTAATTTAAAAAACAGGGATAATACTGGAATGTAGGTATTAATTTACCTAAGTAAATCAATTTTCCCTGAACAATTTAATTTTTGTTTTTAGTATTTGCTAACTAGGTATAATGTATGCCTGATTTACAAAAATTTGAAATTATTCAGTCTAAATCTCTGTCAACTAAATTTTAATGATCGGCTTAGTCAAGTAAATTTTTTTTCAGCCTCCTCCATCCCCATAGCCTTCCAACGCCTCCTTTTTATTTAAACAACAAACAACAACAAAACTTAATATAACACTCTTAAAAACTATATCTTAATTCAATCAGTACGAACCCTGTTAAAAATATTGTTTATACCTAGTATCACAGAACAGTAAAAAGATATTTTTAAACAATTTAAAACTTACAACTAATATCACACTGAAAAACTTAAAGAAAAACGAGAAGTTAAATTTACTTATTGTGATAATAATATTAATAATGTTTATTCGTCCTGTTAAGCATTATAAAAAAGTATAAGATAAGTCTGATTTACTCAGTCTAAAATTTACAATTAAAAATTACTTTAAATAATAGGAATAAGGTTAGCTAAAATTACAAAATAATAAAAAAAGACAAACAATAGCAAGACATAAACATTTAAGTAGTTTTTTCTTACATATATTTAGCAACAGTGTTGTAACATCTACTTTTTAATTGCATTTTTAAATTGAAAATTGTTCAAGGGATTGAAGTTAATTTAAAAATATACGTTTACACTAATCACGATTATTATTGTTATTAATATTATTATTTTATATCTATAAAATTACCTAATATCACAAAATTACACATAATCACAAAAAGTACACATTAAAAATAAATTGAGTTTACTAAATTAAAAATTTTTTAATATTCTTAAGCTCTATTGGGTGTTCCAGTGCCAGAGTTGCTAAAAAATAATTAATTAAGTAAGTTGAGATCAAAGTTTGAGAAAAATTTAAAAATAGTCACTTGTCAAATAAGTATTTAATTTTGTCATGAACTACATAATTTTAAGGAATAGGTAACTTTGGCATGCATAGAAATGATTTTAAAACAATAAACAAAGACCAGTTGTTTTGAAATTTTGTTGGTTAGGCAACTCTGGCACTAAACCACTTTACTATCCCTTTACCCATCTATTTCGATTCATTGTAGTTGCAATATCCATTCCAAAAATCTCCATACTCAGGAATAACTAATACAAAAAAAAGTAAAGGCGCAGTGTGTATCTTAAAATTAAAAATTAACAGAGATATTACTTTTTTCAATTCTTAGAAATATCCTTATAATAAAAGGTACAGTGATTTTCAATAATTTCAAAAAAACATCTGATCTATGCTCTCGGCAAGTAAACCATGCAAAATTAACATGTTCGTGTAAATATAAAATTAGTTTTTGAACAATGCGTTCTATTTGTCCATATTTGAGTAGAATTTGATAAATACAATCATGAATAGTAGTAGTAGTATTTTTAGATTTTAATAAACTATTTTTTAATCTTGAAATTTTGTTTCGCTGCTCCCGATTAATATAATAAAATTTTCTCTTTCTAGGAGTTAAATTACCAATTATAGTTGCATTAATTTGATTTAAAATACCAGTTCTTACACGTGGTTTCTTTATTAAAGGTTCCTCAACACATTCAATTCTATCATTAAAAAATTCTAGCTTTCTTTTAGAAGGTTTAATCAAAACATTACTAATTACATTTATTTTTGCAAGCGAATTTGATGAAGGCAGCTCTGAAAAATTTTCATCTAATGTAATATTATTATTAGTAGTAATATTCTCTCTAAAGGCAAGGCAAATTTAATGAGCTTAGTATGCAAAGTGCTGGTAAAGGCATTCTCGTCAAAATGATCCTCGCACAATAGTTTTTTTTTAGACGTGTAGGGAATATTTAAAATATCAAACCATTTCTCTCTAAGGGTAATAATGGACGGAAAAGTAAAACATTTCTTATTAAGTAAATGTAAATAATATTTGCTTCTACAATTTGGAGCAGCACATGATAATGTAAATTTATTATAAGTTAATGACATCGTTAAGGACCTCAGTATATTTTTACACCTATAAATTACTTAAATCTAACTAAAACTAAATTAAAAATAAGATTAATTAAATTTTACTGACCTACATTTTCCGTGATTGTCATGTTTTAGTGTAACATAACCTAATTTATTAGCAAAGCCAGATTTACACCACCTCATAATATTCAAATGTAGCTTTAACTTTATAAATTTATAACAATTATCCCTGTATTTGATCATTATATTGTATTAAAGTGATATTTAAAAGATTGCATTAGTAAAATTATTGATTTCTTTAAAATTTATTCATTTTTTAATTATTATATGGGTGTAAAAACGGCTTTTATTTGTTGCTCGCAGCGCGTGAAGCGCGATATGATAAACTACAAACAAGGAAACAATTCTCGCCTATTATTCAAACCTTCCCTTTTTAGTTTTTCTATGAGTTAATTGCATCACGTTGTCAACAATATCACTGGTATTCTTTCTATGGTAATTTACAGCCGATTTCATTCCCACTCGTAACTTCAAAATCCTATCACTCAAAATTATTTTAGTCCTGAACTTACTATTTTGTTTTTCGAACTTTTTTTTTGCAATATCACGCAAATTTGTGTAAAAATTCCTAAGAAGATGGTTTATGCATTCTACTTTGCGGCCCATTGTTCTTCTAAGCAACTTTTTTGGTAAACACTGCTGTCTCCATCTCCAATAATTTTTACATATTTAAATTTGTGCATTTTTATACTATTACGGAATCCTTCTTGGTGTCGCTGTTGGTGGTAAAAATTTCCTTTTTGTCCCTTTTTCAAGTAACTCGTCCCTAATACTATTAGTGTTCAAGTCGTTTAAGGCCCTTTTCAGTTTTTCTGAAGCTCCAGTAAAGTTAGTACCATTATCTGAATACATTTGTAATGGTTGTCTTGTTCTGGAAGCCATTCTTCTTATTGCCAAAATGCAAGAATCTGATGTTAACAAATGAGCTAATTTAAGACGTACACGTACACTTAAAGAAGTGAAAATTACTACCCATCTTTTTTCTTGTCTACGTCTAGTAAAGAGGGCCGAAGTA